GAGCCGTGCCAGGTGCAGGGTCTGCTAGCTGGGTGCTGGCAGGCTTGCACCTGGCACGGGCATCATAGCCAGCCCATGCCCCTTTAAGGAGTCCGGGGCCGGGAGGGGGGCAATAGAGTTTCCCTGGTGTTGGCCAGAGTGGCCACCAGGGAAAGCTGGGGAGGGCTAGCCTCCCACTAGTTCGAATTAAGGGGCTACACACCCCTTAATTCGAACTAGTAAGTTCGAACTAGGCTTAGTCCACGTAGAATGAGGTTTACCTAGTTCGAACTAAGCGCTCCGCTAGTTCGAATTAAGTTCGAACTAGCGGAGCGCTAGTGTAGCACCTATCAAAGTTAATTCGAACTAACGTCCGTTAGTTCGAATTAACTTTTTAGTGTAGACATACCCCTACTGTATTACAAGCATTTTTCAATACTAATTGGAGAACGATGTATTCGGGTTTAAGGATGTATACGTAACAACTTCACAGATATACGCATCTGTGACACAAGCATACCTCTTCAGAAATATTTCTCTCTGCTATACTTCTGCTGAGGAAGAACCATCCATTCCTTTCCAATGTCTCTGCATCTACAAAAAAGCCTACAGCAGGCAGTAAACATGTACACCCTAAATGGTTCTCCCATTGCAAGCTGTTACCAGTACCTTGTAGGTCTCTCATTCTGTCCCTCAATTATTTTGTTGGAATGGGGGCTGGACACAAAATGACCCCTATGTCTCAAAAACCCACAAAAGCCAGATAATATTGGTCTAAGATATAGCACAGCTTGACTAAACTTCTGCACGTTTGGGCAAGAAAGCATCATATCAAATGCACAGCATCTTCCTTCATCTATTGTAAATGATACCTCAGGCCACCTGATCTGTTTTAGCCCAACACTACAGAGAATAGAAGGAAAACATGCCAGGCAAAGAGGAGACATGACTAGTCTCTTTGGCAAGTGAACACAAATACCAGGAGTGCAATAACAAGTAGAGAGAGGCTGAAGATAATATGGAATGTAACAAAAAACACATGCAGAGGAGGTGACCAAAACTGCTTCTCTCTCAATTGTCAAACAAGGACCTTGGGAGAGTAAAAAGATGAAAGAATACACATCCCAACAGAAACAGCACCTATTGCTGGCAGGCTGAAGTTCTAACGCCAAAAAAAAGTGCTGCCTTATTCAAAGCTTGGGAAATGGCAGAAATAGACCAAAAGCCCTAAATAATTTGACTGACAATTAAAAAAAAGGCAATGAACTAAGTGAATGGAGTCAATGTTTAGAAAAGTATCCTAGATTTCATATACTTGAAAATTTTTCCAAAGAAAAATTCAGAGAACTTCCCTACTTCCTCCATAGGCCACTACCTCCTCTTGACTACTTTTCTGCCTCTCTCTTTCCTCCTGTATTCCAATGTGCATCAGGGCCAGATATCAGATAAGGGGACCACAATGTGTTCCCACAGTGCAGAAACCAGCGGAGCTGACAGCCTTCACGAGCCACTTGGCAGCATGGGGGAGCTCCTGGTTTCACGCTCTCAGAAGGGTTGAGGCTGAGGGCAAAAGGGGTGGGGCAGCTGGCCACCAACATCTTCAGTGATTATCTAGCACTAGGTGAAGTAGAGTGGGCACTGTGTGCTCATGCTTGATGTATTCTTTATCAAAGTAACGACTGTATGGTCAGCTCATCAAAGGAAAATGGAAAAGGCAAGACCAAAAGAAATGCTTTAAAGATCCCTCCTCCCCTCAAAATATATAAGTTTTGTGGCACTGACATCACATACTGGGAGACAGCAGCCCAGGATAGAGATAACTAGCCAAGACTTACCAGAGAAGGAACACCATTATTGCATAAAACTGCCTTGCCCTGGTTGCAGAAAAACTCCAGAAAAGAAAGACAACTGGTATGCAGCAGCTGTGGCCCAACACCACTTGCAACATCTGCCAAAGAGTCTGTGGCTCAAAGATCAGTCACCAAAGGACCCATGAAAAATAAAACCTGTGAAAGAGATCATCCTCTACCTCCAGGGATCACTGATGAGTCCCTGAAAATAGGTTCTCCTCTCAGAAGAATTTCCTCAAACTTAAGAATGATAAAGCTAGTAGTTTCTGCTCTCAAAATTATTTACTTTCATTTATTTGTGTGTGGCAATGGATTATTTAATTAGGAGTGAATTTCAATGCTGGAGGTCATTTTGGTAATTCTGTATTCTATAATCCCTTCCCTTTCATCTACCTGATTCACTGGCCACAAGAAATTCTAAAGGTTTACTCTCTCCCTCTACTCTTTTTCAACAAATCTGCAATACAAAAATGAAAAGCTTCATTTCAATCTTGTGAAAAGTTAATCACACAAGGAAACAAATTAAAACAAAAACAATCTGTATGCAAACATTGACTGATGAGATATCTCCCTTGGACAAAGATAACCAAGCTGTATAATTTTGGAAAAAGCAAACCTCATGCTCCTCAGCTGTTTCTTAGAACATTAAGACAGTGATTTTACACCTTAATTTACCACTTTGCCACACACAGACCTGGTGTTCTTATCGTAATTGATCTACATCAGAAATTACCTATCTGTCCATGCATCCAAATTACCTAATACAATTATAGCTATGCAATGGACCAGGAAATTTTTGAAAAAACTCACCCCGGAATATTAACATTCTTTTGTTTGAAGCTGGAAAGCTAAGACTAATTATAATAATTTACACCATTTAATTACATTGCTGATTCAATCATGAATCTGAAATTTCAAAACGTTTAGTGAGAAGAAACACTAAAAATGGCACTGTGTGGGTACATATTTATTTTTTCCAAAGATTCATACCATGTGTACTCAGTTTATAAACCAAAAGGTTATTTTGTAAATGTCAGTGCTGCAAACCTCAAGCTGGTATTTAAAAATTCAAGCTGTGTTCTGCCTTCTATATCAACATCACTGCTGGCAATACAATTTTGCAAACAGAAACTGGATAGACAGAATATTTCAAGCTACATCAATTTAGATATTTATATAGTATCGACCAAGGCAGAATAGTATCCAGCTCACTCTTCTGTAGCTGTATTGCAGTGCTAATAGGAGCAGGCACCATTATTCACATAATTACTCTTCTGACTATAACTGCACCTTTAATTCCCTTTCAGCTGCTGCTCCCTCCTACAAAATGAGGCCCCCTGCATCTATATTTCAAACATTCCCAGCTTGACATCTCTAAGGATAGTGGCAATCTTCATCCCCAGGTAAGTCCAATTCACTTTCATTCTCAACCAATCTTCACTCTGCCACCAGTTTGCCTTCCTGCTACCACTCCCTCTTGGATCTAAACCAACTTCCTCTGACAGTCCCAGGTCTGTGCTCCAAACATAATGCAGCTTCCCACGCTTGTTCCTGACCTCATAGTTGGGTTCAGAACCAGCAGTAGGAGAAGAAGATCCATTACCAAGAATGTTAGCCAGGAATGAAACCGGTTTTTTGGCACCATCGAGGTGGGATCAATAAAAACCTCTCCAGGGATAGCAAACCCTCACCCATCCACAGCATAGTGGGGTTGGCCAACCCCATGAAGTTTAAGAACAAGCAGCATAGCACCATTCCGAACTTGTGTTATTTTTGTGGTGTTCTTCATTTTATATATATTTGGTACATGGAGAGAAAGGCGAGATTCTCCCAACACCCAATTTGTTTTTATATAGGACAGTCCTTTCTTTGTTTTTCTTTTTACATAGTGTAGCATCTAAAAACCTGCTGTGATATGCTCCAATTGTTTTATACCCTGCTCCTTAAAATAGCAAGAGAGATGAAAAGTTACAATTCATCTCTTTGTTTAGGTGGTTGGGAAGCGAACTGACCCAATGTATTTCAATAATTTAGCCCCTTTTTTGAGAAAGGAACAGAGAATGCTAAAATTGCCAAACATTATCATTCTCTTGTTTGAAACTAGAGACCTGCAACTAATAATAATGGCTCTCACACTCTAATTATGTTACTGATCTAATCAGCTAACCGCAGCAGAAGAGCTGAATAAATTTACACAATAGCTGGGAGAGACAGTCAAACTCTCAGTGGGATGTAATGAAACAGGCCAGCAAATGTAAAGCATGCTTATCAATTGCATACCAGGAGGACTTGGGATACAAAAGCCAAAGCAGAAACACTAAACTTTAAGGAGTATAAATGTGTCTGACCTTTACAGACTCTGGAATAAAAACAAATTTACCCCCCTAATTTCCATTAGTTGTTGGCAAAATTCATAACGGAAAAGAAAACATGCAGATAAAACGCAGTTGATGTGTTTGTTTTGTTCTTACTGTCAGGTCTCTGTGCACCTTCTGAGTGGCAGGCCTTTTTAAATTGAGCTCAATGCTTGTGGTGTCCTGCTTCAGCTCCATGGGAGATCCATCCACTCTGGCCACCCCTTCAAACTTTGGAGATCTTCTTAGTGAAGGGGCAAATATCACTGTTGTACATTCTTTATCCTTCTCTTCAACCCCATTGAAGGTTTCTCCATTCATGCTAACTTTTCCATCTACCTGCAGAATAATAAATACTCTAATGAAATAACACTGAAGATCAAGATGGCTTGTATTTTAATAAAATAAAGAATTTGTATAATACTCAGAATGGTTTAGCACTGTCCATTGAACAAAATGACAGATAGTCCCTGCCCTGGGGAGTTTACAATCAAAATAGGACACTTGGCAGACAGGAGCACTAGGAAATTCAAGAAGAGCAGAATTTCTCTTTTTCTCCCCCATTAAGCTGTAAACATACTTTTGTGGGTATTAACATAAATAGTGTTTAAGAGGGGAATAAAATCAGGATGATGGCACAATCAGTAGGGAAAAGCAGGGAATATTAAGAAGGGGGAAGTTTCAGAAAAAGCACAGAGACATAAGTGAGAGAAAAAAAGACTAATGAAGTGTGACCTTCAAGACTCAAGTAGATCATAATTCACAAGTGCTGAAATGCATTAAAAAACCTAAAGGATACCACACATTTTGAACACAGTTCTAAAAAACCAGGATAACTTGGAAAGATGGCTTCCTAATATATTTTTAAGCCACAGCACCAAACTTTAAAGCATACCTATATTGAATCCTATAATCCTTTAAGCAGAACATCAGAGAGAGGCAAGAATGCTCAAGCACCTACAAACTATACCAATGAATCACTATGTAACTAGCCAGTCTCATTTTAATATGAAGTTTACTATTCACTTTGTCACATAGTAGTTTTATGTTTAAAAGGTCAGAAGCAGCAAAACTCAGCTTAGTATTATGTTGCCCTACTGCTCATATGGGAACAAGCTGCAGTCAGGCCCCCACCCCACACCCTACCAAGAAAACCCCATGAAACAAGGATTTGGGGAAAAAAAGGAGCTCCAATAGGCTAGGGACAGGGACCAGAGAGCCGCCCCTGTTCCCCAAAGAAAAAGGAGACATATAACTCTGCCTTCTTTATTAGATGTCAAATAGACAATATCTATTAAAAATAAACACCAGAAAAGTTGGCTATTTCCAGTCTCAAGGTAAATAAGTTACAGTTCAAGCTATTTTGGTTCCCCTACCCACCATCCATAACTCCACAATGAGGAGTGAATTAGGAATCAAGTTAATTCTAACCACACATTCTTTTAGTTTGACCATGCCACAGACTTTCCTTTAGCTCATGACTTTTTTAAAACAAAGACCACATTTATTAATGCCATTATGGGATTTTTGAATTGGAGTAGTACCTAAAGAGTCCAGACAGGATCAGGGCACCATTGTGTAAGTCACTGTATGCACATATAAATCACCACCACTTATAGTAAAGAAAGTCTCTCCCTAACCGAGCTTACAAGTTAAGTGTGATGGGACACAACAGATGGAGATGGTAGACAGGGAAAGTACAAGAACATAGTGAAATGATGTTATGATCAGCATAATAAACAGCAGTCACAGCACGTCAGTTGCTTAGCTATAGTCGAGAGTTTTGCAGCCATGAAGACAAATTGAGTTTTAAGAAGAAATCTGAAGAAGGATAATGTAGTGGCTTTACAGATTTTTTTTAAAAGGAGATCCATCCATGAATAAGGAGCACTATGGGAAGAAAGTGAAAAGGTGTTTGAGGGAAAATTAGACTTCTGGGCAACAAAGGCTTATACTGCTGGTGAAGATATTACTGTACACCCATTGATGCCACACAGGAGATAGATAGGATGGGCCATGTGAAATGTTTTGAGATGGCTAATCTATAAGCACTACATAAATAATAATGTATGTAAGCAGAAATTCAGATTTAAGCCACTCCGTGGAACATTATGTGTTAGAATACTATTAAAAATCGATCCAAAGATCATGAAGGACAGGGAATAGGCCTTTTCAATAAACTGAAACATTTAAAGTGGCATAACAGCTTCCTTCATCTCTCAATCTTTCTCCATTAAGCTACTCTCAGTCTACCTTTTTAGTTGACAGTCTGGGTAGAGCCCTCATGAATACAATTCAACTTGGCATTCACAGCCAATTCTGGACCAAGAACAAACTCCACTTTCTGCTGTCTTCTCGTTTACATAACAAGCCCAGGCTTTGCTCTGTATATTAGGGCAATTCATGAAAGGACAAACACTACCAGGGAATGGGTATTTTTTGTGAGATGCTTAGTGCCCTCAACTCCCAGGGAAGGCAATGAGAGTTGAAGATGCTTAGTCCCTTGCAAAAATTGCCCTTAAATGGGGAAAAGCAACAGCAAACAAAGAGCAACAGCACACATTAGAGTGCATGTCAAATGTTATCGTTACACAATTAAAAAAAAATTCCACTACTCTCCTTCTACCCCCATCCTCTGCCCAAGTCATTACTACTCACAGTTTAATTCTGAATACAAATGTTGGCAGGTCTTGAACACACAAGTCCTGTGGGATTTTGATGCATTATCTACCAGACAGGCCATGAAAGCTTTTAAAAATAAGAGCCAGAAAAATACTGGCTGGTTAACCCATCCATTTTCATGTCTCTGTTTAGACTAAAACATTTTTTCTATTTACACAGGGAGAGAAAGCAAATGCTTGAATGATCAGAACAGATGCCCTGGTTGCAGAGTTAAGCAAACATATTCTCTTCCTCTTGATCTGGAGCTAGTCAACACACTGTCATCATAGCAAAGCATCATAAATATATCAGCATTTTCATTTAAACAGGGTAAAGTAACTGTGTAACAATTCTTTTGGGGATAATTCTTACTGTGATAAATCACACTGTCCCGCGTAACGCAAGCAGCTACACTCTGAGCAGACTACGTGTGTTCTCTTTAGTCTGTCCAGGTACAATTACTTCTTTATATTTTTCTGTGGATTTGTTTTAAATAGTCAGGATCTAAAGCCAGAGAAAGATCCGTGTGTCATTCAATAAGAGCTGTAAAATTCAAGTCAATCCAGGAGAAATGGAGCTACAGGTTTTATATTTCAGAAAATTAACTTGAACCCGTGAGAAGTAAACACCAGAACAATATATTTCAAGATATAAAATATAGCATCATAGGAACATATTGTGCTTTATACATGAAGTAAAGGCAATCTCTGTTACAGGGAAATTACAACGGAAATGGTACAAGACGAATGCCGAAGCAGATGGCATCATACAAGAAAGAGGAGGAGAGAAAGAAATATGCTAATTTAGGGTAAGGAGTTGCTTGTATAGTATATTACACATCATGTGAGTTAAGGAGGACAGGAAAAAATATTTTTATTTAATTATAGGGAACTAATTTAGGATTAGAGTAGAAGGGCATTTCAACCAGAAAGGACATTGTCTCAACGACTTAATTACCTGCATCCTGCTTCAAAAGCCTTTTAAGACTACACTTGAAAGAGAATCCTCTGAACTGTTATTCATGCTAAAATTCGACACTTTACGCCGGGGTCTTAACAAAGACTCTAGTTATCTTACCCATTACAAAGATAGCTTCCCCAATTATCACCTCTAATATCATTAGCTCACAGACATTTACCTCCCCTCCCCCCGCATCCCCCTTCTGTTCTGAAACTTGATTTGTCCTTTTCATGTGTGTTCATTTTTTTAATTGTATCCTTTGGTATATATGGTTGTGACTATTTTCTTCCACTATTTGATCTGAGGAAGTGGGTCTGGCCCACGAAAGCTCATCACCTATTAAACCATCTTGTTAGTCTTTAAAGTGCTACATTGTCCTGTTTTTTGTTTTAACTGGTAGCAGTAAGAGGTTTGCCATCCTCCAGTAGTAGAGGGGCATGGAACACTTGGCCAATGGGTTTCACAGACACTTGCTGACTACAGAGGAATGACAAGACTCATAAATGGAATGGATTCAATCCCAGGCTCCAGAGGGAAATGCATTCTAATAGGCAGATTCTTCTGACCAGTCCCCCCAAGCATGACCCTGCTGCTCTATTTCCTCTAACATGTTACTGTCTCAGTCTTGACTTTTATCCACCCCAGCTCTTAGTCCTAGACTTATTTTCCTCACAGCCAATCTCCAAGTATGTGTGAACCATGATATTTAAAAGGCTTATAACTTAGTTAAATTTGGGTAGATTTTCCCAGGGACAGGAAAAGGAATATTCATGACACAAAGGCTATCTCCTGGGCCATATTTCAAGTTCCAGCTCCAATCTTGGCAGTGCTTGTGCTATCCAAAAAAAGTCTGCCAGAGCTTGTTTGTTGTTTTTGTTCTGTTTGGGTTTTTTTTAACACGGACAAAATAGCGTATGATTTTCTAGCCTCGGAAACCATTTTGGTTGAAATTAAAAAAAAAAAAAATTAGCCTGAGGCACTCATTAGACATGGAAAATTTCAGACTGAAGCAACTGAAAAGCAGGGTCTTATGATGAAAGTGTGAGGCTACCTTGATTATAGGCACAGCTGCCAGCATCATCCATTCATTGTCTCTCTTACCACAAGAAAACTAAATGATGAATTTTATAATTATGGGTATGTTGCTCTCCATATTCCTTAAACCTAAACAGTCTTTCTCATTTATGAATTCACGTGATTTATGACAGCCTTTCACATTTATGAATTCATATAATTTATGTTGGTGTTCCTTTGACATTTAATTGACTTTGAACAGTATAAGTCATCCTACCTTAAATGTTTTCAAGACCTGCTGTGTGTTTTTGGGTTGTGAGTAAGGCTTGGGTGTCAGCATAGGCACAGCCTTGGAGACAACAGTTTTGGTTGGAGATGTTTGGCCTGTTGAAATGCTGGTTTCAGAATCATTGGTGGAAACAATGGTTGCTTCAATCATGGCAGTGTATTTTGGAGGAGGCAGCGATTGTTGTCTTAAGTATCGCATAGGATTTGGGTCCTTCGGCGGTGATGATGAATTTGGCTCCATTGAATGGCTTCTTTCCAGAATTTTTGGCATCTCCAAACGTTCAAGAACAGCTTCACTAATGGTAAACCTTTCAATGTATTGTTGGAGAATGCTCTCTGCCTCCTCACGTGACCTAGCATTCTTGTAGGCCTCATGCAGCTCCTTTTCTCTTTTCTCTCTGTGTGAGAGGCAACAGAGGAAAAATTACTATGTGAAGATATACAGGCCAATCCTCGCCTAAAGACAACCCCCTAACCTCAAACAAATTCTTTCTAGCAACCACACAGCAGCACACCTCCATCCTATTCATCCAGGAACCCGCCCTTGCAATCAACTCTGGTGCCAATTCTGTCCACAAATTTATACAAGCGACATCATCACAGGACCTAACTACAAAACCACCACATCAGAGGCTCATATAACTGCACATCCACCAATGTGATCTATGCCATCAAGTGCCAACCCTTCTGCCATGTATACTGGCCAAACTGGATAGTCCCTATGAGAAAGAATCAATGGACACAAATCAGTTATTTGAAATAGCAATACACAGAAACCAGTTGGGGAACATTTTAACTTGCCTGGATACTCATTAATGGATCTCAAAGTTACCGTATTATTGCAAGCGAATTTCAAAAACTAGTTTGAAAGGGAGGCTGCAGAACTTAATTTCATTTACACATTTTGGTACCTGCAATAGAGGTCTAAACAAAGACCTTGCATAGATGGCCCACTACATTCCACATCCTAATGGCATAAAAAAAACAAGCACAGGATACATAAGAACACTTAGTACCCACTCTATCAGCTTCATTTAGCATGGACACTCCAATTGACAATTCCGCCCCTTTCTCCCCCTTATTTTTCCTTTCCCCCACCCCCGCTATTTATTTGGAAACTGGACCCCTTAACTCCATTCATCTGAAGAAGTGGGTTGTGCCCACAAAAGCTCATGATACCAACTACATTTTTTGTTAGTCTCTAAAGTACTGCAAGACTATTCGTTATTTTTTTTAAGTTTTTTATGCAACGATTAACACAGAGTTACTCATGTGCATGAAGCCTAAGAGGAATTGGGATAAATTCTCCTTTAAAAGCCATACTACAATGATTATGTTTAACAGTAGTGTCATGGCTCCTTCCCCACTCTGGCATGATAAATGTAGAAGTGAAGGCCAGCAAGTGTACCCCAAAGCCTTATCTACCAGGCTTCGGTATAAAACTTCCCCCAAAATCTTAAAAACCTAGATCTTGGGAATGAAACTTCCACTGCCACCACCCAAATGTTGATAAAGAAATCAGGGGAAAGATCATTTGGGAAATCTCACCCCTAAAATAAAAATCAGGGCACACAATTAACCAATGCCAGGTTAATAAAAAGAAAAGAAAGAATTTTTATTATTACAACAATATTCCTTTTGCAAGCATAATGACAAAATGGAAGGTAACAAAATATACTCATGGAGAAACTCCATGGGCCTAGAACTTAGTTACAAAGAAAAGCCAAAACATCTTTTAAACAGTGCCAGATCTCAGATCCCATATCCAACCCTTAAAACAATAAAGCCTAACGAAACTACCTAAACTACCTACTTACAGAAAATGAAGAATGGTGTCTTGGAGATGTCATGATTATGAGGGTTAGCCAGCAGCCTGGGGATTAAGGGTTAACTACACCTAGCCAGGTGGAGTGACCAGTAGGAATATAGGTGGGACTTTCAAACTGAGACAAAAGGGAGAAAGGAAAAAACCCAAATTCCTTTGTCCCAGTTTGAAAGTCCCACCTACATTCCTACTGGTCACTCCACCTGGCTTGGTGTAGTTAACTCCTTAATCCCCAGGCTGCTGGCTAACGCTCATAATCATGACAAGTAGGAGTAGCACATTTCTTTCCCAGGCATAATGTCCCCACTACAGCAGAGCAACAGCAACACAAAACACTCAAAGCACACAGTATTCTCAAGTATGCAACTGCATTTCAGCAGAACAACCTACTTTTCCTCCACAATTTCTCTATAAGTCTTGATGCTTTTCCTTCGCTCACTTGTTCCATCACCACAACTCAATAATCTTTCCATCTTCTTTCTCTCTGCTTCTTTTTTAATTAGGTCCTGTGAAGCACTTCTTCTGCGACTTTTCCACCGTGCCAGATCCTATATCAAAAAGGAAGAGAGGTGCATATTCAGAGCTTTATAACACCAGTTACAGAAATTACCTGCTGTAAAGCTGTTACTTAACCAATAGTGGAATACCCCCAATGATAGTTAACTTCTCAATAACTGAATGACTTTAGCTGTAGACTGATTTCACGTACCTAAACAGCCAAAAGTAAACTATAAGAAGTGAGAAAGGAAATTATATTTTCCACAAAATCTACAAAATCAGTTGCCTATTTCGGTCAGTGGGTTTCACTGTAGTTTCCAAATCTTGCCCAACGGGAAAAAATGAACTGGCAGCATCACTATCTTTGTTTTGTGATGGACCTATTCTGACTTTCTGTTGCTGCAGTACTGAAATTGAAAGCTTGAGAAATCCAGTTATCCAAAGATGACTGACTGTTAGTTTAGGCCTAATGACTATGGGGGAAACCCTGACCCCTACAGCATGACAGAGTAAATAGATCTGGTAAAGAATGAGCACTGGAGGGTAGAAATCAGTGGATCAAAAGGGTAAAATCCTTCTCCTGCATCACTGGAGGTCAGCGTAGCTGTTCTTCTACCCCTAATTGCAGCCTACACATTGGTTAATAGATCCACAACTCTGAAAATCCACTAATTCTTCCATTCTTTTCTGACCAAAGTAGCTATACACTAGGTGGCAAAACCCACACAGAACACAATCTGTGTCATATGTTCCTTGTACCCTGTTTAGTTCATGAATTCAGAGCTTTTTGTGGCCACTGGGGACTAGGGAATATCTGTCCCTAGATTAGATACTAGAATGTCACCAACACTTTAAAATCAATAAGGCAATGTTCCAAAAGCTATAAAACTATGATGTAGCCAAATATTACACAGCCAAACTTTAAGAAAACTGTTTGATATTCATACATAAACAAAAGGATGGACATATCAGTCACTTTGACAAGTAGTTTAATACCATTACAAAATTAGTATACAGAACATATTTCAAATGGGTTTAGCAAGTTATATCTTAGAAGAATAACAGCATTACTACGGAGATACTTGATTCAAACATTATTTCATGAACTACACAGTTTTCAAAATGGCACTTCAGTCCAGAAATATTTTAACTGAATTTATCAGTAAACTATCAGCATAAGTAAACTGTAAGCATAATTTACCTTATTAAAAACAAGAATATACATTGTTACTTTTAATTTAGCTCAAAGTCAGCAAGAAATTCAAGTTATACTAAAGGGAAGGCTCATTAAAGCAGTTCTTCATGTGACACACATATCAGTCTAGAATCCCTTTCTTCAAAATGAGGGACCTCTCATTTTTCCTTCTACTAATAATTTGTGTTAAAGCAGGAAAACCTTTATTGGAAGTAGATAAGTAAGTACTGCCTCTTTAGACATTAGTTTTTCCATTAGCAAATTTCACAACATAAACCACCTCCTCTTTTTGCAACTGAGAAAAATGGATATAATTTGTTTTAAGCTTTCTTATTTCAAATAAGCAGAACCAGAAAGAATTCAATTGAAACCTATGAAACTGCTAATCACTTGCAAACTACTACCTGGACATATACTAGCAAGTGGATTCATCAAGAACAATAACCCACCATGAATACAAACAATGTCCTTTCCATAAAGCTGTTGTTAGGGTGCCAGAACACCAAATAAGGGAATTTATAGTAGTTCTTATCAGATATTACAGCTATAGTCTGCAGTATCAAGAGATGGTCCAGGAAATTCATAATGCAGTAGCTGAGAGTGCTTTGTATTTTAGCAGTAAGAGTCCCAAAACTTCTCAAATAACAAAATACAACTCAAAAGGAAAAAAATATGTATGGGGTGACCACAGTTGTTATGGACTTACACAAACATTACACCAGTAGGCAATTACTATGCTGCATATATTGCACTATAGCATAATCAATTCTTAGTTTTATTAACTTTTTTAGTATTTATTAAACTTTTACTAAAAGCAGCCTCTCAAATGTTTAAAAATAGTTATCTCTCTTTGGACGTTACTGTAACTATTTCTTTACAATGAAAAAAATCTTTAAAACGGGGTTATTAAAATATCATTTACAACTAGTGCTTCTAAAGTGAATATATATTAAACTTTTTGTGGTTCATTTGCTTATACCCTGTTTCAACACTTTCTTGAACATCTGCATTTACAGTCTCAGAGAGGTAGCAGTGTTAGCCTGTAACTGAAAAAACTTAAACAACAAATAGTTCTGCAGCACCTTAGAGACTAACAAAAAAAAAGGTAGATGGTATCATAAGCTTTTGTGGGCACAACCCACTTCTTCAGATGAATGGAGTAAAGGGTCCAGGATACAAATAAACAGGAGCTGCTATTTACAGAGAATTGCGAAATTCAGCACCAATAATGAGAGTGCTCAGAGGGAGTGTTTTATGTTGGGAAGCATTCCATTTTAAGTGAATAAAAATTGGGGGTAACTTTGTTGCCTAGCATTGAATTTGAAAATGTTAATCATCCACCATTATATTTTCTGTGACAATATAAGTATAACACTTCATTAATTCAGATTTAATTAGGATTGTGCCTTTCCTGGAGTCCTTCTGTATTGTTCAGTTTTACTTTTTGTTGTTAATGGATTGAGCAAGAATTTTTGCTTCAGAAAAACATAAGAGCACAAGCAGAACTATTCCTAGCCACAGCATTTTCCAGAGCTTCCCAGGAAGGAAGAGCAGTTTTTTCAATCAGAACAATTAGAAAAAGCCTCACGTCATCCAATGAAATTCAGGCTTTTATGCTTAGTGGTAATCCTAATCTTGAAAACCCTCACTCCAGATTGTTTTGTTGAAGACACTTACCCAGCGAATCTGCATTTAAACAGTCTAATTTTATACCTAACTGGTGAGAATGTTTGTTCTTGCATGTTTTAGAAGTGACATTTTTCTTTACTCACATCTTGCCATCTATCCTCATCCTCTTTCAGTTGGTTGTGAATATGCTGTAGTTTTTCATGGCGAGCCTTGCTGTGCGGCTGCATCACAGCTTCATCTTCACACCGCATGTCAAACATACTCACACTCCTAAATAAAGGATGAACAATAAACCAATCATTAGTTTATACTCATTTTAAATGCAGCCCACATAAAGGTGCTAGAACAAAATCAAATACATCTTTCTGTGGAAGCTTCCAAAAATCAGAATATTTCAAAAGAATTTATTGGTATCCACATGAGTTCTATGTACAAATGCAGGCACATTAGCACCACCTTTCTCAATTATCCCTTGTTTTTAATACTAGATAGCAACTTTTCCTTTCCGTTGTCACTTGTCTTCCATTAATATGATTTAAAAATTTGAGAAGGTCTACTCAGATTTAAAATGCAGAACTTTCCGAAGCTCTCTCCCTGCATCACTTTTGAGAAGACACCTCTGATTTCTCTCTGTGTAGCAGAGGTTGGATTTTATTTTATAACAAAACAAGAGAGGTTTGAGAGGTACAGTATTATAGGCAGTGTTGCAAGTTAAATGACAATGGTAAATAAGCGGTGAGAGTCTGCCTTGCAAAGTGCATGAAGTATGAATGGTCATGTTATAATTTGCTTTCCATGGAGAACCACAATTTTATCAGCAATGAGCTATTAATAGATCTGTTCTAACAAAGAAAAGGCATAACACTGTACAATAACAGTCATGATCTGATTCACAACTATTTCTTTATATTTTTGTTCTTTGGAGAGTTAAAAGGTCACAATTACAGAATATAGTACCTCATATAATACAGTATAGCAATTTTATTTAAACACATTCACATGAAGATACTAAGTTGTGAGGTTTTCTTTGCAGTGCCTGGTACTTGCAAAATACTACCTCATTTGTGCCATTAAAACAGTAAGCCATGCAGGGGATTCCATGAAGTAATGCCAAAGCATTAGTCAGAAAAACTCATCTATAGCTAGAATGAGTCAATCAGCAGCAGAAGCACAGTGAAGATAACATGGTTAAAATGGCAGGCAACAGTGCACAGAGTTATCCATGTATTCAGTCTTTAAAACAGACTACAAATTCAGAAATGAAGGCTGTTGTGTGGACGTAGATTTAGCTCAAATCTATATCTGAAGAACCAACATGTAAATTAACCTTTTCTAATGAAAAAATACATAAATGTTTTTATAGTCTTCCATTGATTCATTCAGAGAGCACACCAGAAGTTACCCATAGACACAGAACATAGAACATACTATATAACCCTTAGTTACATACAGCAAGCATAAAGATTTTGAAAAGGCACAGAGCTAAGCAGAAACCCTACTACTAATTCCTCAACAGATTATAATTTCAGAGTTGTGTTACTCAGGAATGGAGCACCATTAAAGACTAAAATAAAAAAAGGCTACAAGGTTGATTGGCTTCTTTTATTTAACTAACTAAATAAATGCCATGCACTAAGGGATATTTCATAAAATTAATTTGGAATGTGGATGATTTTTTTTAATTTTAACATGGAAATCCTGTTACCTCAACTACATTTAACAAGTTTGTGAAGGCTTAGATAACAGAAATTAGCAATCCGTGGCAAGTGGTTCAAAGGAGTTTTATAAGCCTCCAAAGTCCCACAGACACAGAATAATTCTCATTCAGAGGAGTAAAAAGCATCCCCCCCAATGCCTGAATATCATTCCAATTGCCCCTTGCCAACAGTATCTAACTCTGCCAGCTTCTCTGTCATACAGCACTTGGGAATTAAGTCCTGTAACAAGTTACATAGGGAGACACAGCGGAGAAGCTAAACTTCCTTCCCAGAATTAGTCATGTTCTAGAGAGAATTATGATGGAGCTGCGTTTCAAGGTATTGTGACCTGCTCTAACACCACCACACATAATGGCTTTAAATAAAACTGTTTATTCCCCATAAATTATCTTCTCTGCCTATGAAGAGCAACTTGGAGAGCAAGGAAAAAAAAACCAGAACCATGAGCTACTGCCCAAAGATACAACTATTTTTCTCTCATCAGCGGAAAAGGCCGTTAGGGAAGAGCCTAATAAAAAAAATCCTCATAGCATTTTTATCCACTTTTATAATTAAAAAATAACACCACCCCCTAAAAATAAACAAACACCAATCATAATAGGTGATGTTTTCTATTCAATCCTCTATTAGATGGAGCTAGGCTAACTGCAGGCTGCTATGCAACTGTGTGCTGGAGAGAGAATAAGGGGAAAAGAAGGTGCAAAGAGGATAAAACACTGGATCATGCAATTAAGTACATACAGTCATAAGTTCTCCATCACTAAAGAAGTTCTGTAGCTAGTATCCCAAGTTCTTTTTGCAAGTTTGGGATTCAGTGACAGCAGACTGACCTTTTTATTTCATCTGGTGTTCTCCCTGAGTCCTGCACATATCACTGCTAAGAGCTTGCCTAGACTACACATTTTCGAGTGGGCTATATCCTAGCACTGACGTCACTGATTTTCAAGCCTGTTAGGCTCTTCTCCTAATTTAGAGTTGTTATTGAGAATGGTACCACATTTTTTTCATCTGTTTCGAAGGAGCCCAAACACAAATAAAGTTCTGAAATAGCTATTTCAGAATCATCGTAAACCTAGTAAAACAAACCCAATGACTTCATAGGATAGCATTTAATGAATATGGTGAATAACTACTTTTTATGAGAAAGAAAATGACTATTAGAAACATGCAGACAGGACGCTCATGTGGCTTCATTAACATTTTATAGACATGTCAAGACTAACTCACTTTTTTTTTTTAAAGATAAAGTGAGCTACACAGCAGAGAGTTAAACTGAAGTAAACAACTACATCTCTGCTCACATGGGCCTGTCAGGTTCATGGTGAAGCATAAACCTAAAACCAAATCCACACCCCTGAAATGATGTAGATACACTGACCTACCCACTGGTGCACACAGCACTAGTGCAATGGAAGAATTCTCTCTTCGACGTAGCTACTATCCCTCATGGAGGTAGATTACCTATGGATTACCCTTCTGTCAGTATAGGTAGTGTCTACACTGAAGCACTACAGTGATGCAGCAATGTTGCTGTAGCAATTTAAATATAGACATACCTTTACCAACTTCTTCCTTACAGCCAAAATCTGAAGGCTCTAATGCCTGCACACTTAAAATGAACACTATACTGATATTACTACTCTTCACCATTTAATACAGGACCAAACTATTCTTGGAGTCTCTCCCACTTCTTCAGTTGGTATCAAGCAATTTAGGAGCTGCTGGAGCCAGGAAAGCCTGCAAGGCGTGGGAGGGAAGTGGAAGAAGCAGAGAAGCACACACTTTCTCCTCCTATCCTGAAACAGGCTGCACTTCTCCACTGTGGATCAAGTTATAGGCAGAATAAATCTGGGGAGGAGGAAAAAAAAAGGCTAGAGCACCTGGGGAAGGGAATTCCAGTCTCTGGGAAAGAGGAGAGAGGGAGAAGTGAAAGAGAATGAGAACGAGCTTGTCAAGAGCTCAGAGCAACTCCTCCATTAGAAGAGTGAAACTCTAGGAATATCCCCTCACTGAATTTCCCCCAAACCATTCCAGCGGGGATGATGCTAACCTCTGTGATTCCAGCCCAAAACCCAGCAAGACTATAGGAGACTGGTGCATCAAAAGATAGCCCTTCGCCCCAGAGCTGTTCTAGCATCCCTAACTCCTTGGCAGTTCTTAATGGAGCTGAACTATCAGGGCCTTTACTAGCATCGGTGGTTTCTCAAGAAACACAACACATGGTCTTCACAGAGGGTATGTCCATACTGCAATTAAACACCAGGACTGGTGCATGCCAGTTGACTGAGGCTCACAGTCTCATTGCAGTTCTGGGCTTGTGCTGGAGCCCAGGCACTAGGAACCTACAAGGTAATAGGGAGACATCCGGAGCTCAGAAGTTCTATCCTGTAATTAAATAGCCCCGTAGCCTCTGCCCTACAAAACCTGAATCATCTGGGACAGGCCAGCCATGGATTTTCAACTGCAGTACTGACACACTCAGAGGCTGTGTGTACACTGGGCCACTTATTCCGGAAAAGCAGCCTCTTTTCCGGAATAAGCTGCGAGCTGTCTACACTGGCCGCTTGCTTTTCCGGAAAAGCAATGACGAGCTACTGTAAAATTATCAGTGTTTCTCCGGAAAAACTATGCTGCTCCCGTTCGGGCAAAAGTCCTTTTCTGGAAAAACTGTTCCGGAAAAGGGCCAGTGTAGACAGCACAGTAGTCTTTTCTGCAAAAAAGCCCCGATCGCGAAAATGACGATCGGGGCTTTTTTGCAGAAAAGCGTGTCTACATTGGCCATGGACACTTTTCCGGAAAAAATGCTTTTCCGGAAAAGCATCCTGCCAATGTAGATATGCTTTTACCGGAAATACTTATAATGGAAAACTGTTCCGTTTTAAGCATTTCCGGAAAAGGGTGCCAGTGTAGATGTAGCCAGAGAGAATATCAACCGCCTGAGCTTTATTGTCCTTCCTACAGCCTATGTGGGGCAGTTAGGAAGGTCAAGATAAACTAAGCACATTAAAATGTGATTATCTGGCTAATTGTATAGTTGATACAATTTCTATCAACTATACAATTAGTTGATAAGTGCTGCTGTGCAGAGCCGCAGTGGAGGTAGCTCCAGGAGCCGATTCCGGAATCACCAGTGTTGCAGCTCTGCATTTAAATGTAGTAAGAGCTGCTGGGCTCTTACTACATTTAAAATGCAGAGGTGCAGTGATCAGCGTGAGCTGGGAATGCTCGGTCCCAGCTCGTGCTGAGTCCAGCAGACTGTCTGCCGCGAACAGGAGCTAGTGTCACCAAGTAGCCCGTGTTCACAGTGGCCAGGGTTGGCCACGGACAGGGGCTGCTGCCAGATCTTGCTCTCCCTCCTTCCTCGGCCCCTCCCTCCCCCCGCTGCCTCTATTTGATAGAGGCAGCAAAGGGTGGTGACTAGTTGAGTGGTTACTCAACTATCCAATAAGCATATGACCCATCAGATCTAGAAAAAGGAGTTTTTATGCTACTAGAAGGAGAGTTTCCAGCTTCCCACATGGACACAAAGCACTTGCTTCCCTGGCATGTCTCAAGGTAATGGGGCTTAAAACCTGTGGCATTTCTATGTTTAGAAAAGTGCATTTATGCAACTTCCAAAATTGTTTTGTATGTATTAGTTTGTTTTATTCCTCCCTCTGCGACCTTATTGTTGGTTTCCTGCCAGCCAAGACCTTTAGCTTACAGGTGGAAGGATGCAATAAAATAAAAATAATAATAATAAAATAATAATAATCTCTTAAAATACTGGTAAAATAAAATTTGGCATGTTCAGAATGGATGATAGTAAAGGTTAAAGGATTTTTATCTGCACGAGATTGGAACGAACAGCAAAATTCACTCATAACTTTGCTATTTCCAATTTCCTTCTCAATCCCATGCCAATAAAACCTTCACAGGACACCTTTATGAAGGTTTTAAAACTAGGCTGGGGGGACCATTCAGTGGGAAAGATGCCTGCTGGTGGAAACTCTCAGGAAGCAGGTGGGAGAACTACAGAAGGAGATGGATAGGCTGAGGAACATCTGGGCCCACAAGGCATTCCTCAAGAGTATTCACATGGAGACATTGAATGCTGAGGAAGCTATCCAGAACTACTATCAACCCACTGGGGGAGGAGAATATGGCTCTGTCACAGGGAGGATGTTGGCAGCTGGTTACTTTTGGCAACAGGCAGTGCCTCACCCTTGCTCCCAACCCATCCAACATGGTGACGGAAGACCGATATGCTGCCCTGGCAATGAGCAATGAGGAACCATCCTTTGAGGTGAAGGAGAAGAAACTACGTACCCCAAGGCTAGGAGGTTTGCAGTTACCACTTTTAGGAGAAAGCAAAGAACAGTGGTGGATGGAGATTCTCTTTTGAGGGGTACGAGGCACCCATCTGTTGCCCTGACATGGCATCACAAGGATTGTCAAATATCATCTGGTCCTCTGACTACTCCCATGTTACTCATACATATGAACACTAATGATTCTGTGAGATATGACCCTCAGCACATCAGAGAATTTCATAAGAGAGGTGATAAGTAACTACACTTTTCACTTAACTTATTTTTTAAATTATATTTTAATCCCAAACAAAAAAAGGTAAGTGAGTTTTCTTCTAAGCAACACATCTCTACATCATAGTTCTAGCCTTAAATTAAGAAAAATCTCAAAGTATGGGAATGGGGAATCCAGTGAAGTTGCATAGGTTATGAATAGGCCCAACCTGGATGATTTAAAGAGATGGTTTTTGCATGACTAATAAGCAATTTAAAGATTTACTTTCCTAATTAATATTTGGAGGTTACCAAACAACTTAATTTACACTACTTTTTATTTTATTTTTCAACCAGTCAAGCTACATAGCTGACTCGTCAGTTTACCAATCCAGAATCAAAACTTCCCAAGACGTTTCTGAGATCTAGTTCTAACTTCCTTTACTAGTAGTGGATTTGAAATGTTCCAAACCCACACACACACAAAAAAACCAAAAAACACCCCAAGTTTTTTAAAGCAGCAGCTGCATAGCAGTGTAATGCTGTTATTTTTAGTTCTTTCCTGCAATATAAACACATATTGCATTCCGCTTTTAAGTGCTTTTCTGAAACATTTATGTGTCAGAATGCATCAAAATAATAATGCATCAACTGCTTTTGAAATTAGTATTAAGTATAAAAAGCATGCACTTTAACTTATTTAAAGCAACCCTGTGAGCGTAAGACAACTTACTCTGCGTCATCAGACACAGCAGTTCTGTGGCCGAATCTACAAGACCAAATATAAAATTAGACGTTTGGTACAAACATGAAGTATCAATTGCAATCAAAGCCATACCACTGGGCAATTTTAATTTGAACCCCAAACCTCTTCATCAATCAAGTGGGCTGAAAAAGAAATATGGCACGCTGAGGTTATACAAATTACAAATGGGACTTACCCAATCACATTTAGGAAACTATGTAAAAACAAAACCACTTTTTTCCAAAATATAAAAGCTGTGGTGAAATACAATGTGATATTGTTTGTAGAAAGTAGCACCTGCTGGAGACTATAGTATTATGTTAAATATTGTATTACAGATACATGCAATTAATCTAGACATACAAACTCTGCTAAAACATTCCATAATACAGGTGTTCAAAATCATCAGTACTGAAAACTGGCAAAAAAAGCATCATGCACAATGAGAGAGGCAAATCTCCACACTTTTTCACAAGAGAAAAAGTTCATCCTTCGAATTTAGACACAACATATGCCAGTGTTATTCACAAAAGTGCACCATACTTTGCTATTAGACTCATGCATATGACATTTGTATTTCTTTTGATCATGGAAGAATATCCAGAATACCAATCAGCATCCTTACCAGATTCACTTTCTATTCAAGAAAAAGCAAAATATACAAGTCTAAAAATTTCAGTATCTTGCTTTTTCTGGAAACTTCAGACAAAACTGCTTCCAAATCTTTTTCACAAGGTTTTGGTTTTTTGGGTTTTTGTTGTTGTTGGTATTTTACACTTTCAATAGTCAAATATCTTCTTCTATTGTCTATAGAAAATAAATCAATGCCGCACTTGCAACTATTTTATTAGTTTCAAAAGAGTACATTACTGAGACACAGTGTTTGCAGTCCACACTAAAATAAGCCAGGCAAGTGCAAAACCTAAATTCTGTAGTGTGCACACACTCTTAACAGGACACAGAGGGCTGCACAATAGAAGCTGTGATTCACATAGTAAAGAGCTCACGTTTGCAGTTCATCTCTGCACGAAGATAATATTTTATTTCTCGCAGGAACTTCCTGAAGCTGTGAAGTTTGATCTGGGTGAATTTGATCAAGATTATGATTACTCATGTGGACAGTGGAAGCCACATCTTGTCCTGTATCAGGGAGATGTTGTCTATCTTGTTCTTTTTCTTCTCTGTTCAGAGGCTGCACTGCCAGTCTCTGGGGACTGTTAGCACAGATTTGTGGACACTTTTCAGATGTGAACGAGCCGGTGGCAGTGGTTGTGCTAAGGAAGCAATTTAAAATTTTAGTTTATTATTAGGAGAAGTGGTTTATTCTATACACACATATATGATACTGTCACATATCCCAACGAGCCAGGAAGTATCAGATAGAATTTACAAGCTAAAGGTATTATTGGCATGCAGAGTGGAATTTTGAGAGTGAGGTAAGAACTAAGTCTGCTACACCAACCTAGAAGGAACTTCAGCCTTCTTTGCTTCATTCAAAGATGTAAACCTGACTTACCACCATTTATTTTAATTAAGCTACATCAGCACCAGGTTCTCTCAAACTCAAATTACTCTGTATCCACTCAGGGGGACAAGCCTTTCCCATCCTAGCTAGATACAGGACCAGGGAAATGGACTCTCAGGATAGAATCTAGACAATGATGCAGCCATTGTGTATCTTTTCCCTTTCAATCACCATCTTTGCATTTTAACCACCATCTAAAGCTGAATAGTAAGGTCCCTTCAAAGCTCATTTTGGAGCTACGCTTGATTGCCTGCAGATACAATGATTTTCACTAGGCTAAATCTCCACTCTTCCAACACAGCCCTATTCACCTAGAGCAATGCACTTACAGATTTCCTTAAAGCCTGATTAAAAGGGATCTAGTCCCAGCAGCTACATCTTTTGCTCAGTAGCTGATACCATGTCAGCCCTGCTCAGCTACCTAATTTATTGAATATCATCAATACTCCTCAAATCACTATCTTCATTATGGACTCTCCTGGTTCTTTTGCTGGAAAACATGGGTTTAATAATAACTAATTATAATTTATCTAGAACTTCTAGATATAATTAGTGTATTATTAGGATACTGTAATTACCAGACTTAATTGGGCCAGTGGTTCATCTAGTCCAGTATCCTGTGTCCAACAGTAGTCAGTTCCAGGTACTTTATAGGAAGATGCAAGAATTCTGAACTGGATAATATGGAAGAACAATCTACCTATGGGTGGGGGCAGGTGGTTCTTAACTTCTGAAATTGAGAGTTGGGTTATGCCCTGAAACATGAGAGTTCTTATAAATAATCCTATCTAGTGTAAGTGTGACTATATTTGGAAACAGAAGGTTATAAGATAACCAGTGGGACTGACAGCCTGGCTGGGCAAGGCGGTGGGAGTGGGGGAGGAGAGGCAGGGAGGAAAGAGAGGGGGGGCTCTGTGCTCCAGGTGGGGGCAGGGCCTCAGGCAGAAGGGATGAGTGTTGGGGCTAGGCAGCCCTCTGCACTGGCCAGAGAGTGCAATATGTTTCCCAGGGCTCCAGCAGCAATTTAAAAGGGCTCAAAGTTCCTGCTGTTGCCCTTCTGCCTCCCCTTGTCTGCAGGCCTAAAGATAACTTTTAACATACTTCAGTGAAACATAAAATTTGCCTCCAAGATGCACTTACAGGGAAGAAAGATGCTATTGGAACAGAATAACTTTACCTCTTCGCTTTCTTTTCAGGCTTTACAAGCTGCTTAGTTCTCTCCTGGCTACTCTGATGCTTTGAAAAAGGAACAGGAAGGAACTGTTTTATACAGGGTCCGGGCTGTTTTAGAAATGCTCCAGTTCTTCTTGCCATCATATCATCTCTTTCCAGATCTGGAACTCTCACTTGGCTTTTTGTCCCACCCCTATTCAGGTCATGATCTTCCTCTTCTCTTGTAACACTGCTGCCCACAGAGACAGGAGACAGTGTTCCACGTTGTTGTTCCTTTGTGTAATTCAAGGGCAAACTGCTGGTGAGGTAATTTTAGGCACCATTACTCAGAAGAGCATTGAAAAAGATGGAAAACTAACATTTTTAGCAGCAGCACAGGAACTGTGAACAAGAGGCAACTGCAATGAACAGCATGACATATGCTATTCTTTTAAGCAAATGAGGAAAGAGATTTTTATGCAACCCATATTTATAGGTAAGCAATTACTCATTTAGAAGCCTTAATAAAATCTGGATGAAGCAGCATAGATTGAAAAAAAAAAAAAACACCACCCAAAGGATGAATAACCATGTCCATGCTACACTGCAATTAGCAATCGAAGTCATTACGTGTAATGAAGAAAACAGTTTTATGTACAGAGGATACAGTCTTGTAAATAATTTCAAGAGCTGAACACATGCCACAATTGCATATGAAATGAGTAGAATGCCCCTTAGCTTCCCTTATTTGATAAAAGGAGAAGGGCATCACAGACTGACTCAGCTTCACATGCAAAGCAAGCAGAAAGCTGTTTTCTGGTTTCCATCCTCTGTTCTGGTTTCTATGGAGTCTTCAAGTCTCGCTCAGAAATTGCTTCTTTTTGTTGCTGCAGTAGATGATGGATAACTGTCATGGAAGCATGTGGAATACAAACTGGGCTAGTCTGCCTCCAAAAGGTTCCCATCCTTCTAGCCTTCATATCATCTCTCTCAATGTTTGATGAACTTCCGTCAAGCTCTTCCTCCCTGCTTTCATGCCATTCACTCCGTCTGGACTTTGCTTCGGAGACACAACACAGGCAGCCAACTGGATTCTTTGTCAATATTCATCTTTACCTGACCATATTATCTTACTATAGATGAAAAATTATTGAGAGCAGGGGTGAAAAGAAGAGATCTCAGATGAAGTGAAACATGTGAGTGATAAAAAGAGAGATCCATTTTTATGGTTTTATATTTAATTTTACTCATGCTTTGGAATAAATGAACTTACTTGAATGAGTAATTTGCTAATGGTGTCAACTAGCAATTTTTTACTATGATGATAGGCTGAATGATTACAGAAACTGAAGCCAATTGAATGTAAATTCTGGTCAAAGTGTGTAACTTCTTAGCACTTTAAGTCTTTCCTAGCTAAATGCCAGAAACACAGTCACATAACCAGTATGTCTCACTTTTAATAGATACCCTTCAAAAGATTCCACCGATCTTCAAAGGAAAAATAAATATAATCTTCAAGGGTGAAAAAAATCAGTATCGCCAGAATGTGGCGTGAAAGCTGCACTACATCAAATACGTAAGTAGGACATGAAACAAAACCCCTGGAATTCAAAAAAGAAGCAGGCTTAGCTAATCAGATTCCTAGTGGAACTGGTGATTTGATACGGATAAAAAATTCAAGTGAAAATCTCAATAAGTTTGCACAATGCTTCGCTGTGTGACCCTAGGTCTCATTCTCTCTTTTAGATGCTGTGAAGACACCAGATAATTTATTACAGCTTCAAAATGCTGAATGAGCCTGTATGCATAAGAAGCTTCTAACTACGCTAGGACATCGTTCCTCATGCATGCCAGTCAGCATCATGCAAGAAGCGGCTTCATTTTGGATTCAGTAACCTGTTTCTTAGCCAATATTAAATACCTGGAATCATTTTGTGGCCTGGAGACTTCATTATTATGTCCGGCGTTAGTGAGGCTGCAGGCTGTGGCAGATGCAAAGGATTCACAACACGTCTGTGTCTTAGCACTTTCCCTCCCAGTTTCCTCTGTGGTTTCACTGTTGGATGCAGCCCTGGCAATACTAAGCTTCTCCCATTTCAGTTGGTCAATCTCAGTTACTGGCCCGAAGTGTACAAACCTCTGCTTGGGGCCAGAAGCCTTTTTGTATGCTCTTGCTTTGCGGTTGGCAAAATCATCACGAACAGCTGCTTCTGCTGCAATTTCAGCAGATGGTTCCAGATCCTGGGAGCATTTGATGTCTTCTTCACTAGTCAGAACCAGAAACAAAGGAATCAAAGGAAGTTAGAAGGCAAAAAAAAATAAAAAAAAATCACAAGCAGCCTAGCAAACATCCTTGTGTGTATAATGAGAGTGCTTAGAGCCAAATATATAAAAGGAGGTGAACTGTCCATGTGGCTGGAAGCCAAGAGATAGACTAAGTCCTCAAGAAAAACTGTGGGAAGCATGCTCTCTGGTTGCTCTCGCCCTCTACTCTTTAGGAGTATAGCATATGACACACCAATACCCTAAACACAAGATGTGGATCCATGGTCATGCCCAAATCTAAACTGACATGTCCCCCTGAGCCAGCAGACCCCTCTTATTCTCAGGGAATGCAGACAGCCATACAATAGCTGCTTCTTTCACTGAAGATTAGGTCAGTGGTTCCCAACCTCTTCCAGAGGGGGACCCATTTTGACAATTCAGGAAAACTTGCTGACCGAAGGCAATCAAAAAACGGGGGGAGGAGGGAAGGCAGAGCCACCTAGGGAGACACTTGGTGACCATTCTGAAATGTAATGGCAACCCATATTTGGGTCCTGATCCATAGGCTGGGAAACCCAGAGCTGGCCCCAAGGTACGGGCTGACCGGCTACCGCCCGGGGTGCCCCACTGTAGGGGCGCCGCGCGGAACTGCCGGGCTGGGTAGAGGTGGCACCGTGCATGTGCCGCGCACCCAGGGTGTACATGCATCGCACTCCCGGGGGTGGCGCCGCGCTTCCGGAGCGCACAAATGGCTTGGGCTGGCCCTGGGGAAACCCTGCATAAGGTGCTCTCTATGCCTTCTCTTCAATGCCAAGAAAATAATTTTAATTCGGCTCTGAATATTGTGGTGTACACAGTGAAGCTAAGGATGAAAATGGAATATAAATTCCTTCCAATTTAAGAGGGGGTGGGTTTAAGCCGAAACCCAGAATTTTGCCTATCCTTAACAGTTCAGGTTCTAAATTGAGTCTTAATTGCAGAAGGAGGATATTTTGGAGGCGGTCAAAATGAGTTTGCAGGACGTTGGCATCATCACACTCACACTTCTATCACAAATGTAGACAGTTAGTGTGGTGGCTTTTCTTAGGACTGAAATCATCCAATAACTAAGCAAATGAAAGATGATGACATTTGGCTAGAAAAGGGAATGCCCACAACTAAGCTGGTGAAGGACTGCTATTCTTTGCCAGAGGAGTTCCAAATCACTTCTGCATATTTGTTAAGCTCTAGATTGTATTTAAAGAACCATTTTCAACAGCTCTATTCAAGTTAAAAATAAAAGCCAGTTGACAGAGTCAAACATATATCTCCCCTACTGCCATTCCACCTTCACCTATAGCCCCAGAAAACAACATACCTGAGCTCCTCAGACACTTTCAGTCTGTCCCACGTCTCCAAATCTGCTTCTGTTATGGAAGCTTTCACAAACACTTGAGATTCTCGTTGCTGGGTAAAGTTACTTTGAGTCCTTCGTTTAGCTAGGTCATCTCTTTGAATATCAGGCACTTTCACCTGCTCCTCTTCCTCCAACTCCTTATCCTGAGGCTGCAGGAATGGGTTTTCTTTGTGTATCACAACTTGCCTCGCTGAGGACATATGTACCTGGTTTGCTCTAATTTAATGCACATTGCAAATCAGCAAGAAAAAGCCATTTTGAGGGGTTAGACAATGATAAGTGGAATGCCAATAATGGAGGCTCAGCATATACAAGCAAACTAAAATGATAAATAAGATAAAAAGGTTGGGGGTTTCTTTGAGCAAACATGTGACTGTTTCATTTAGACTACCCTGTGATTTCTAACAAGACAGTTTCATTGGATGATTATAGTTTTGAGTTTAACCCAGACAAGTAAATCTGGAATCACTGCAACAGTGTTTAGTTCGTAATGAGGTTCATTCTGATAGTCACAATGCCCAATTCTCTTATTATTAAAATCATTTAATGATTTCAAGTTGTGTTCCTGAATGTACCAGAGCAGGAGAATTAATATTTTAAAATAATTTGTATAGAGCAATGTCCATTAGCTTTGCAAGATGCCAAATTCTAGGCTTCTAATGTGGTATATTCTCCAAATGCCCTGCCAAGACATTACTCATATGTCAGAATGCTTATTAGAAATGTCAATGAGCCATACTGTTACTGACTGGGGGAATATTTTATATTACTGAAAACCTAATCTAAACTTATTTTAAAAATGCTGAACACCTAACACACATTGTGACAGAATCTCATGGTAGGCTTAATGTTACCTGTATTATTTCAAATTTAGAATTCAATACAGATCTAGTGTGAATACACACAAATAATAAAATAAAGGATTATAAAATAAATATTTGTACTACTCTCCATTTTTCATTGCAGGTTTTTACACCAGACCTGCAGATCTACACTTATTTTATACACACACACTCCATACACTATCTAAAAATGCTTCATATAGTACAATCAACAAACAAAACCAGATAGACTTATGTACTGCAGAAGATGGTTGCTTAACAGAAGTATCTACAGAATAGATAGCTTTTCTTAAACCCAGTATAGAATTGGACTGAAATATCTGGAGAGTCATTATTTTGGAAATAGATTGGTTCCAATTTAATGTTAAATAAATTCCACCATTAATTACATGGCCCCATCTCTCAAGTAGTTCAGAGTGCTATAACTACATAACCAAGCACAGAATTTGGCCCTTTCTTTACATAGATTCAAAGAACTGGGTTAAGTTAAAAGCCATATATAATACAACAAACATTTCCTTATTTATATTACAAATTTTCATTAGATGATTGCAACTGAAAAACTTACATTCTAAATTTACTTTTCTGTATTTATATTCATTGCCAGACTTCTCTTACTTTGGACACTGAAAACATGCAGTGTGCTTTTCTTTTTTATTATAAGTTTTGAGTCACTGCACTTTGCAGTTCTCAAATTCTAGTGCAATTCTACTATGTTTTAACTGCAAACACTAGAGGTTTTTTTTAAAAAGATTCTCGATTAAAATTTAAAAAATAATGGAGAATTCATGTGAATTTTATGAATGTTTATTTATCCTCTATTGAAATGTTGGGCCAGATTGGTCTTAGCTACTAAATAATATTATCTCACTTAAAATTAAATATTGCAATAAACAGAGAAAGCTAGTATGCACACCTGACAAATTCCAGGTTTTCCTTCTGTGGTGATTTTTTAGCACCTTCCAGTTTATCTTTTTTTGTATAGGGTCCAACTGAAAACTGGTTAAATGTTACTGGAATTTTGGGCTGATTCAGTCTTACTCTCCGGGCTGCAAAGTCATCCTTTTCTAGATCAGGAACTCTGCATATTGCTTCGTCTTCTGATCCAGAATCCTTTCCTTGACAATGTATCACAGAAGGTTTCTGCTTGTGAAGGATGATGTCTGGGGTCGGTTTACTATCTTCACATATTTGCTTTTGACTGACACAGAGCAAAATTAAATGGAATTCCAGATACGGTAAGGGGGAAAATGTCAACATTCATTTCCAGACCATAAAATAAGTGCTGTTAGTCAAATGTGCTCAAGACTGCTGTTAGTTTAGATGAGGCCTTCATTTATTTGTTTGAGGAGAGCTATCATGAAGGTCAACTGCAGTTCCAAACATGAACAGTTAGAAGGATCCTTTCCATCCATAGCTAAAGTAATAATGGAAAAGTAGAGAACACAGGCTCCAAATTATACATTTAGCCATTCACAAGTGGTGACATTATTCTTAGACACTTTAGGTAACAGAAAATAGCTTTAATATAAAACTACCAATCTTGTTTCCAGTTATCACTGTAGAATCCTGGGATACCTAGAATTGAGCATTCTGGCTTCTAAAGGGAACTGCCATTTTTCTGTGCTCTGGACAGTCATTAGAATTGTGCCTTTCCCCTCCCTTGATATTTTCCTTTTCCCCCTATGTAAAGCAAGAAGCAGAAAATTTCTTTTGAAAAGAAAGTAGAAATGAGTCCCTCTTTATTTAGACTTGACTAACCTAGATTTTTGTTTTTTATAATTCTGATGGATAATAATATGTTTAAGCAAGCATTTTTTCATTTTTTATTAATTTAAATCTTCTCATTTGAGGGAAATAATTGAGGGACAGACAATAACTTCTTAATTAGAGTAGACACACATTCAAAAAGTTAACTTTTTTTTAATCATTACAACCAGAGACACAGCGAGAGTGTTATGCCTGACCCCGGGGGAGAGTGGGAGGAGAGAAGGGGACGGGCCCCACACACACTAACCCTCCGGCTGAGGTGGAGGAAGGTCAGGCTGGGAGCAGAGAGGCGGGACGGAGGCGGCTCCAACCGGCAGTTGTGGGCAGAGAAGGAGCAGGCGAGCAGAGGGATGACAGGGGGAGTGGAGGGAGACTAAATTGGCGCCCCACTAGCGTGGCACCCGGGGGCAACTCTCCCCCCCCCACACACCCTCTTCACTACACCACGGTAAATAATCCACCTCTTAGGATATTTATTGTTTAATTAATTACTTATTTTACTAACTACAGACAAATATAAATTATAAAGTTTTCATGGTTTACATTCTGTTAAATGATTTTTTCTCTTCAATTTGGTCACATCCTGTTCTCATTACATTCATGTCTTTTACATAAAAAATGACAAATTTTTAAAATATGTAAGTTTTATAAAGCACAAGAGAAATAAATTCTATACAACATAAATATGAATTTCATCACTATATTTCAATCAAGCATTTCAAACCACTGTTATAGCAAATGAGTAACTTGTTCCTTTAATAAATAAAAGGTTAAAAAAAATTTGAGCATATCAAATTTATTGTAAGCAATCTGTAATGCTTCCTAACTGCCTAGTTACTTACCTAGTTAACCTAACTGTTTTTCATACTATCGCACAGCAATAAACTACATGAGAGTTATGAATGTAAGAGATTAACTGACCTGTTAAAATAACACACAGAAAAACTTTTAAATAAAACTCTCACACAACAAGAGAATCACCCTCACTTTCTTGAAGGCACTTTAAGCAATAAGTAGCCTAAGGCTGACAATACATTGCAAGCCTGACTTTCTGTTTGCCATGAGGACTTTTCCCTTCAAGCTGCTGTGAGGAGAGAGGTCTTTCTCTGAGCTGCTCTTCCAAATTTTACACAAGCCATTCAACTGAAGCCACAGATATCAAATTTCAAGGTCAGCCTTGCCTTGAGCAGACTGCCTCTCCAGGTATTCACAATCACAACATCTGAACATATATAAAACTTTTAGTTGAGAAAGCCACATTAATTCCAAGTCTCTGCTATGACTGGGAAACGTGGGTGAGCTATAGAAAACACCTGCATTTTCTTTTGAAAATCCGCAACAAAACGTGAGGTGTGGGAGAATAAAACTGAGCTCTGGAGAAATGTTTGGCTAGAGTTTCCCCTACAATATGTACCAGTTCCGACTTGCATACAAATTCAACTTAAGAACAAACTTACAGTCCCTATCTTGTACGTAACCCGGGGACTGCCTGTACTTCTAAATTATGAACTATGCCCATCCAATCTGAATCACTTTTTACATGAGAAGTTAATGAAAAATATTTTACATATATCTATACTCACCGGAAAAAAATTAAAAGCTTATTTATCTAGATTTTTAGAGTGTTACAAGATAGATTAATATACAGTAGTCATATTACAGGGTTCAGATCTCATGCCTCATTTTTCCACACTGCACACCATCTAAATTAGAAAAAATGGTCAAATGAAGCCACTAAAATAATGGCAACAGCTCAAGAGTCTGCACATTTTCTCCCCTATTTTTACAATCAATACTGTTAAAATTGTTTACTGTAATTTTTTAAATTTAAGTTTTCTGATTATTTCAAACCCATTTTTATCTCTTGACCATATATAGCTCCAGCTGCCTTTTCAGCCAAACTTTAACATTCTCATTTTAGATTTTAAAACAAAGATGCAATAGAAGGATTCCATAGGGCCACAGAGAGTGTTGAAAAGTTAGCCAGGCCTATGCCAAGGAATGAATGGGAACAATTTAAAATCGCCTCTCTTTCCCCTGAGATGCTAGTAGGTTTCCAAGTCACTGTGAACTTTGTATATATTTATTGGCACAAAGTTATTGTGCTTCTGATTATATTGGTAATATTATCCAGTAGCCCAATCTTTCAAATTCAAGGCAACTCAATGGGCTTTCTTCCAAATCCAATGTTGTAATTCCAAGAAAAGTTTGAAGGAATTAATGACAGTTTTATGCGTTGCAGAGGAGTCACACACTTGTTTAAAAATTAGATGCTCTTCACCTTCCTGTGATTATGAACAGTTTAATACAGAGGCTCTCAAACTGTTGTCTGTGGTCCATCAGTGGTCTGCAAGTTCCTTTCAGGTAGTCCACAATCTGGGCATGTGCACACAAGAAAATGAAGTAATCACCCCACCTAATTAGTGGAGCTGCACAGGTGGAGGACTAATTAAGTGCCTGAGCCTGGAGAAGATGCACATGTAAGATGAGAGGGTGACCTTGAAAATAGGAGACAGGAGGGAGGCAGTGGGGTGAGAAAAGGAGGTGGGGGAAAATTTGGGGCTTGAAAGGCTGTGGCCAGGGGTAACGGATGCCTGCAGGGGAAAAGAGTGCCACCCGGAAAGACAAGAGGAGCACGAGAAGAGGCATCCTATGTAGCAATTAAAATTCTGGCAGAGGCACAGGGGGACAGTACTCCCACAAATCAGTTTGGCTGCAGCAGCCAGAGAACGAAGCAACTTGCCCCAGCTCCAGGCTGCTGGGGAAATAGCATTTCTTCCCAGTCCCCGTTCTGTGGCTGCTGTGGTGGGGGGAGAGAGGGAGAGGCTCCACTTCCCTTTTCCAGCTCAGTAGCTGCTGCAGAGGGGTAGAGACATTTGGAAAGATCATGAAGTGGTCCACGGAGACCCTCAGCAATTTTCAAGTGGTCTGTGAAAAAAAAGTTTGAGAACCACTAGTTTAAAAGGTCAAAAGGTTATGCAATGGTTTATGCATCACTGCGATGAGCAGTTCTTGCGTTTGTGAAGTAACAGAGTTTAAGTTCATTCAAAGAAAATTTCCAGGAGGAATATGCAAAAGGAAATGCCACATGGAGCTCTTTTTATTTTGTGTTTTATGGATTAACAATGACCACAAAGGCAGTGGAATCTATAGATATTCTGTGCACTTCTATGGCTTCATTGCTGTTGTATCTCTAATGCGTATATCCTCAATACACCAGGGTGAGGTGTTTTGCAGAGAGGGAAATCAGGGGCAAAAATACTGATTGACTTGCCCAAGGTGACACACAGTCTGTGGTGTAGCATGGATTGAGCATTTAGTTCTTCTAAATAACCAGGTAATTAGTTATCACCCTAGTCACTGGACCTTCCACTCTACAGAATAATTGGAATTCCTCAGGAGAGTAAATTTTGATGAGTTGCCTTCAGAATGTTACCAATGGGTCAGATTTTTTCTACAATTTCAGGTCAGTAAAGGGAATAAAAAATACCATCACCTAGCCAACAGTACGTTGTACACCTCATGGGAGGGACATGTTCTTAGTCACATGGGAGACATTTAGCAATCCAAGCACTACTGACTACATAGTACCATAAGATGTGAAAACAACATGCATCGTTTTACTGCCACAAACTTGGCATAATTACATTACTCATACGTGACAGAGCCAGGTGAGCTATAAAGGTTTTCCTCAAGAAGCAACAAATACAATTTATATTACATTACAATAATAACCTATTTTTCGGATGCCTTGGTACGGCAAAACTCTTTTTATTTAAATGTTATGTTCCTTTGGATACCAGAGAAGCAGCAATGGATGAAGTGGAGTTGAACTGACAAATACATCTGCTATATAACCAAGCATTTGTCCATTCATCCATTTGTTCAAGAACTCCTAAACAGCAAGAGTTAGGACCACCAAATTAGGTATACAGCTTCCTCTTATAATTTTAAGGCTACATCTAGATTGCATCCCTTTTTCGTAAAAGGGATGCAAATTAGACGTATCGCAATTGCTAATGAAGCGGGGATTTAAATCTCCCCCGCTTCATTAGCATAAAAATGGCTGCCGCTTTTTTCGGCACAGAGCTTTGCCGGAAAAAAGTGCCAGTCTAGATGCGGATCTTTCGGAAAACAAAGCCTTTTCCGAAAGATCCCTTATCCCTTATTTTAAGAGGGATAAGGGATCTTTCGGAAAAGGCTTTATTTTCCGAAAGATCCACGTCTAGACTGGAGCTTTTTTCCGGCAAAGCTCGTGCTGAAAAAAAGTGGCAGCCATTTTTATGCTAATGAAGCGGGGGAGATTTGGGAATCCCCGCTTCATTAGCAATTGCGATACGTCTAATTTGCATCCCTTTTAAAAAAAAGTCCTCCCCATCCAGGACTGCCCCAGGCCTGAGTTTCCCACCCTCAGGCACCCTTTAGGGAGAA